GCAATTAACTCTGCTTTTATTTTGAAATATATGGCCAATGCATTGTAATTCATATGGGGTAAATATTAGTGGCAGTTTAAGGTTTCTGGTTTATAATACTGAAGAAAATATTCTGTAAATAAATAACTAACTTTCAAATTATTATACTAAATGTGTTTAATGTGTACTTCCCATTTTAAATTTTGAATTTTTTTCCCTAGGTTACACAAAACAATTTATCCTCAAGTGGGGAAATGTTAATTTATTTAACAATTGTTCTGAATTGTATCCAGGACGATTTTTTAAAAAAATGGCATGTGCAGGTAAGCATCAATTTTCTTACTATATTTTGTCTACCATCATGCTCTCAGTTTAGCCATATCTATTGGCTGGGAATCTTCTAGACTTAAGAAAGACAATAAATGAACTATCACAATATCACTGTTGGCTAAATACCAGCCACTGGAGCCTGTGGCATCCACCATTATACACCAATTTGTAAACAGAGTTCAGATGACAGCATGACAAGTTTCTATGATTATTTGGGCAAATTTTTGCATGTAATTTGAGTTATGTTTTCTAAATACACAAGCACTTTACAGCCTACTGAACATCCTACCTTTACTGTATTTGATTCTGATTCAGCAACATATTTAAGCAAATGTGTGCCCTAGAGCACACATCCCTGTTGACTAGAATATATCTACTCATCTGCTTAGACATTTGCCTCTACTACACTGCACACCAGAAAAATACAATTAACTTTTCAAACTTAGATTAGTCTGTCCAGGAAACTGGTTGTCACTCCTAGTATTAAAATCAGGATTTTGAATGCACTTTTTTTGCCTCTCAAGTGACAAAAAGTGTTGCCAATACTAAAAGAGTATTGAGTATTCAACTCACAGGGCAGATGGTTTCAACTGTTTGTTAAATCAAAAAGTAAAGGCAATCTTTAAACAAACTCAACAAGAAAATTAAAACCATATATAAAAGTGAAACAATTTGTGATAAATTCAGGATGTCATCTGTAAGATACTGGGTTTATTTAGTGCACCAGTTTTGTAACTTATTTCCCTTTGCTTCAATATATTTCAAGTGATCATACTTACCATGAGGGGACAATGACATACCATATGAGTACCATCTGAGATACATTCAGAAGGGGGATATCTGGGGTTAACATCCCCTCCCTGATGCAAACTTTAAAATTAAGGGCTGGTATTCACAGGAGTTAGTAATACAAGCAAGTATTAATTAAATTGATTAAAGACAATAAAAATCTTGTTTTATAGGATTAGTAATCCTAACTCTGAAAAGTTCACATAACTCTTTCTCAGTAAGGTACAGATTCAAGAAAGAGGTTACATTTTAAAAGCTTGGGGACTGATGCTTTGTATGGGCTCCTTCATACCAGGACAGTCAGCCAAGCAGGAAAGCGTAGTAACAGTGTTAGAAATTAATAAAGTTTTACTAAGTATATAGGAAAAAACATAAATCATAATATAGCTATGTAGCAGCATTTGTGTTTATATCACATCCATCTTGATTCCTTTTTTTTTCCACTGCAAATGAGTAGGTTTGTGAACACTGAAGCACGAAAGGCACTGGATCCTGCACACCTGTGCCTCAGGGCTGCTACCTGGCATTGCTAAAGGTCCTCACCGAGACCAACTGTGCAGTGGGAGCACTTAGAGCTCTCCCTCCCATGCCAGGATTCATCTGCTCTCCTTCTTGTACCTGCCCACCTATTTTCATAAAGCTGGTAAAGAGAATAATTGAACAGATGAAACTGGGCAATGGATTACTGGGTAGGGAGGACACCAAAGGCAGACACGGAGGCGTACATACGTTATGGTATCTTCACTTCCAAAGGAATTAGTGTACACATCTTTATACCTCGTTCCATTTTTATGGGGTACTTTTGACAGTAGGGAATGTGGCTGAATTCTTCTCTACTGGCTGCATAAAACAAGACTGATGAAAAAGCAAATGAGAATTTGGGCCAGCCACAAGTATAAAGAGAGGCCCTGCACTTGAAATGAGAAATAAGATTTGAAGAGGTTCAGAATCTTCTTTACTGCTGACCATTAGGCAAACACCTGTCAGGAAGTGACACAGACCTGAAAAATCTCCTGAGCTCTGCCTCGTGTGCCAGCTTGTACCTTAACTTACTTTTGTTTTTTATTTCCTCTTCAGGTACTTACGATGGTTCCACAGACAGTTGTAAAGGCGATTCAGGAGGCCCCTTGGTCTGCTTTGATGCAGAAAACGTGGCCTACGTCTGGGGCATTGTGAGCTGGGGTGAGAACTGTGGGGAGGCTGGTCACCCTGGTGTGTACACACAAGTTGCCAGCTATTATGACTGGATTAGCCACTATGTGACAAGGGGGCTCATTTCACGGTACAATATCTAAAGTTCAGAAAATTAAATGCTTCCTTTTTATCACCTATGCAAAATAGTCCTTTTCCACAATCAGCTGTCACATTACTTAATAACAATCAGTACAAATCTTCAAGGAATGTATTTTGAAATTTCTTAACACCCTCTGAATACCACATTTTTACAGAGCCTGTGAGAGGAGAATTTTAGAGGCCCAAGTCCACTACAAAGGTCTCTAATAAAAGCAGATATTAAAATATTTTTTCTTGTAATCTTGGTTTTTTTTCCACTTTTCACATTGCATTTCAGTTGCTGTTGTTTATTTAGCTAAAAGGGATAATGATACTGGAAGCAGTGGTTGGAAAATGACTGCACTGGCAAGTGAACTTCACAGAATTACGTGAACTTCACAGAAAGGACAGCAGCCAGCCTGCTTTAAAGAATTTACATCATCTTGAGGTCTAAGTCACCAGAAACCCTTAGCAGGCTGCCTGGTTTGGCACTTGATTCCTTGGGCTTATTGCAGAAGTAGACCTCAGCCCATCTGTTAATCAACAGATTGGCGATGACCATGAGATTTGTTGTAATGCAACAATTACTCAAATAATAAATCTCCTTGGTAGTTTCTGCAGCTACAAACTCAGACAATTCATATCTAGTTAATATACATTATCTGATCATCTAGTCTGGGGCAATTTTTGTAGCTCTTTAAGTTTCATTAATTTAACAGCAGCTAGTCACAAACAACAAAGGAATTTTGAAGCTTAAATCTTCAACTTAAATCAAAAGCATCTTTACATCTTAAGATCTCTGTGTATGTATATATATTTCAGGCAACCTACAAACTCTCAACACCAAGTAGAGTTTTACACTACACTACACTATCACACACTCTATGTGCATCTCTATTCTTATACATACATTTTATGTAGCAATATAAATATCTAAAAAGACAATACCTTATACACAGAGATTTAATTCTACAAAACCATGTAGCAAAGTTAGACTTCTTGCTGTCATAAAGAAAACATCAGGCTATACATAATACCTTCATATTCAGCAAGAGCTGTTCACAAAACGTGTGCACAAATTCTTTCTGAAGCAGTAGAATTTGATTTATGGATTGGTACCCTCAACACAAACCTTACATAGCTCCAGCCAGTTGTATGAAAATGATCAATAGCTTTAGAATACTTTTCACTGTATTCTAATGACAAATACTCTCAATATCTATTTCACTTTATTTCTCTAAATTATCCTGCTGAATAAATTGCATATGTTCACACAACACAGTTGTTGTGGTGCTATTTCTTCTAAATTCACTACAGTCAGACAACAATTTTTACATTTTCACTGACTTCATCTTCCAGACTTGTAAAAACCCCACATCAGCATGACTCTGTCATGTAAAGACACTATCAATCACCAAAGTAATTAACGTAAAGGTATGAATTCCTTCTCTTAACAAACACACACACACGATCAACAAGGTTTGCTATTTAGGAAAGCATTTAAGTATATCCCTACACAGAAATTATTCTGCTGAATCAAGAGTCTTGGTAAAGAAATCCTAAATAGGAAAACGTTGGACAGATGTACAAAGAGCTCCCTCTTTTGTTTGACTTATTTATTCTGTGAAGAACTTTTCCCACCAATTTCATTAGTTAAGTACACACAATATTAAATGCTGAGGCTGCAAATAAACACAAACAAACAAACAAAAACAAAAACAACAAACCTCAGTAGAATACCTCTGTTCTGAAAGTCTCTTGGTTTTCATTTCCATTTATGCTGTCTCTTCTGAAAGTCTCTTGGTTTTCTTTCAATTTCCAGTTCTTTACATTTAACTTCGGCCCTGAAGCCAAATATTACTATTTTCTGAAGGATTTCACACAATATCAGAGTTTTCATTACAAAAATTAAAACAATTTTCATGTAGTTCCAATTCAGTTAATCTGTGAAGCATCTAGCATTTAAATATATATTTTTTTTTTAATTCTGAAAACCAAAGGTGGTGCTTAGTAAGCAAGTTCATTTTGGTCTGATTTTTCTTTTGAACAAATCAAGACTGGACTTTTACCGTTTAACAGATACGCTCATTATGCTCTGCTTGACAACCTCTCCTTGCACTGTTGACGATAAGAGCCACACACATGTGCGAACACGGCCACTTTCCTTCACACCCAGCATCATCACAAAACTCGGTACCTGCGGGGCCCTGCTCAGCCAGCGCCGGGCTGCCGAGGGACCAGGGCAGGGCCCGCTTGTCGCTGCCCGGGTTCGGGAGGCCGCGCACGGCACAGGGACAGGGCAGAGAGAACGTGGCATAGGTGGCACAGCAGAGGGGACGCGGCACAGGGACAGGGCAGAGAGAACGTGGCATAGGTGGCACAGCAGAGGGGACACGGCACAAGGACAGGGCAGAGAGAACGTGGCATAGGTGGCACAGCAGAGGGGACGCGGCACAGGGACAGGGCAGAGAGAACGCGGCATAGGTGGCACAGCAGAGGGGACAGGGCAGAGAGAACGCGGCATAGGCGGCACAGCAGAGGGGACACAGCAGCGAGGACACGGCGGGGGAAGCCCCTCCCCGCGGGCGGCGGACGGGCGGGGCGCGGGGGCCATGGCGGCCGTGCCGGCGGTGGCGGCGGTGGCAGCGGGCCGGGCCGGGCGGGCGGCGGAGGGGAGGGCGGCGGCGTAGCGGGCTCGGCATGGCCCCGGCTCGGCTGGCGGCGTAGCGGGCTCGGCATGGCCCCGGCCCGGCTGTCGCTGCTGCCCCCGCTGCTGCTGCTGCTGGTCGCGGCCTGCGCCTGGCGGCCGGCGCGGGGCCAGGAGGCGCCGCAGAGCCCGGACTGGCGGATGACGCTGAAGACGATCCGCAATGGCGTGCACAAGATCGACACGTACCTGAACGCGGCCCTGGACCTGCTGGGCGGCGAGGACGGGCTCTGCCAGTACAAGTGCAGCGACGGTGAGCGCGGCCGGCGGCGCGACCCTTGTCCCGGGCACACCTCGCTGGCGAGTTCTCCCGGCGTGCGTGGCCATAAATCCGTGTGTGAGCCGCGGCGAGCAAACCCGCACGTGTATGCGTGTTTAAATACGTGTATAAGGTGTACGGAGCCTGTGTGCGCGTAAGCAGTTCTCTTAGCAACACTTTTTAGTAGCTCCTTTCAAACGTCTCCAAGATGTTTACCTTGGAGAAAGGCTTATTAGTGTCCGATCTGTAGCTGATTGGTCCAGGTTAAAACCCTGGAGAGGGAAGAATAGCTCACTCCCGGCTGGTTATCTACGAGCACTCCTGAACATTTCGGTTTGGGACAGAAGAGCTTAAATCTGAGCTGGAATATGTTGTTTCGAAGTCACACTTGAATAGCAGGTTTTAATGGCAGCCGCGTTTGCCAGTGGAAGGAATGCATCCTGCTGTTTGTAAGTGTCCTGCTGCTACCAGCAGAGGACACCTGTGCTTCTTCCTGTGCTTCAGCTGCCTGATTTACCTGACCAGTAATTGAGGCAGCTCAAGTTGGCATGACCTGATAGATGATGAAGGTTATTGTTATTATCATAATCATTATTATTATTATTATTACATTAGACTATTATTATTAGGCTGACCCTACTCAAGGAGGGCGTTTGGACCAGATGACTTACTGTGGTGCCTTCCAGCCTGACGCATTCTGTGATAACCTCCCGTGCTGTGTCCATTCCCGGTGCCAGGCAGGTAGTGCTTCGGAAATGGGATTTCTTTCCAGGCTTTTCACTGGCACCTCAAGAGCACCCCAGAATGGGAGGCTGGCATAACCTGTTCTGATGGAATCACATCACTCCAGTATAGTGTGTGAGAATATTTGTTAAGTCAGGAAATTAGTCTGGTGGTGACACCCTGGCTGGCTGTACAAGAGCGGCCAGGACACTGTGACATTTACTCTCTGTACTAAAATACGCATCTTTCAAATGTGGCTTTTTTCCCTATTACATTTAACTGTGGCTTCAGATTGTTTCCAGTAGTGAAATGAATTAATGGAGTTAATTTTTCAAATTAACTCCACAGTCTTTCTTAACTTGGGATGCAGAATTCCTTGGTTTGCTGCACTAGCGAGTGTTCGGGGGGGATGTGAGTTTAGCAGTCTCTATTAATTCAAATTCTATGGATGTTACAGCTGTAGAAATAAAAATGATGTTTCATCCCAGTTAAGACAAAAAAACCAGAGAACTACTGTTGGTTGCATATAGAGCATAGAAGTATTTATGAACTTACACTAAAGTACTCTGATAATATAGTCCTATATATTGACCATACTTAACCAACACATCCATTTTAGTAATTTTTTTTAACTTAGGAAGCAAACACTGACACTTGCTCAGGTGCCTTGCCTCCCTTTCTAAAAAAAATTTCTTAGTACCCCTGAGTTGTAATTTTGAAAGAATTGTTGATATGCAGGTGCCTGAATATATGTTTAAGTTAAAAATACAACTGATACTGTTGTGGTGCACAAACAAATGTCTGTGGTGAGTTTTAAAACTACTAAAATCCTGTTCAAAAAAATCTATTTGAGACATGACAAATTACCTTTTTCAGGATCAAGACCCGTTCCTCGTTATGGGTATAAACCATCACCACCAAATGGCTGTGGATCCCCTCTGTTTGGAGTTCAGGTAAGTATTTCCATTTTGGGGCTCCTTTGTGTGTCGTTTTCCTCAATGTAGATGATTTTTTCCATCCCCCCCTTCTGAGACAGCATTCATATACAAGGTCCCTGTTCTTATCAGCTCCTAACACGTGCTCTGGTAACAACATATGGGAAGTGCTAGTATTGTAAACGAACATAGCATAAACATTTTCAAAGATTACAAGCATAAAATGTAATGATGATAAATTTCTTGGGTTTTGAGTGTTTGGTTTAGTATTCTGTTTGCACAGTCTTGAAAGCATTGTGTAACTGCAGCTGTAGCCGTGTGAGAGTGGAGAGTTTGGCTATGACTCTTGCTCTCCTTACTGACACTAACCCTTTTTCCTTAATGCTAGAAAGAAAATAGGAGTCAGCTTGTTATCCTCCAGCTTTGGGACTTTCTCTTTTTTCCCTCGCTCTGACCATCCACCACCCCAGAGTGTAGGCAGGGGCTGGGCAAGAGGCTGGGTAGGGACACAGCTGGGCAGCAGAGCTACACTGAACAGAGGGATATTCCATACTGTAGAGTGGTGCTCAGCAATAGAAACTGGAGCAGTGGGAGAAGGTGGGGAAGGAGTCGTTGCAGAGCTGTTTATGACTTCCAGGTGGCTGTTGCCCAGAGACTGGCTTGGTATCCCCTCTGCTTTGAAATTTGCTGAATGCTTTTCGCACTGCTTATTTTGGGACATTTTTGTCTTCTTTGATTCGTCTCTTAAACTGTCTTTATCTCAACTCATCACATTAGTTTTAATTTTTAACTGTTACAGTCTGTCCATAGGCTATGTTTTTCTTATGCTGGAATACCAATGGAGGTGTGTGCGTGTTTTCTTCACAGTTTGACATCGGTATCCCATCAATGACAAGGTGCTGCAATCACCATGACAGATGCTATGATACTTGTGGCAATAAAAAAAATGATTGTGATGAGCAGTTTCAGACCTGCCTCTCAAAAATTTGCAGAGATGTGCAGAAAACGCTTGGAATCTCAGAGAGTGTCCAGGGTAAGGGTGAAAAAGCCTTTATTTTTTTTTTTTTCAAGTTTAACCTCAGCATAACTTGGCAAAGAATCTTTGTGCAGTGCCTCAAGGCAATGTTTTCATAGGCTGCTGAAGGATGCTTTGTTCTGTCTCTCTACTGTGCAGCCCAGATGCTTGTACAGCAGAGCAGTGACACAGCATAGGAAATGATCAGCATTGAAACTAACTTCGAGTTAAAGTTAGTTTTAACTTTAGGGGAAAAAATAATGCCACCCATTTGGGAGTATGAATATGGGAATACAACTTTATCAAAATGCACGTGTAATTCTTTCATTCACTGTAACATAGTTGTAACATGACTGTTCTGCTGGGTGATTTCTAAACTTCTATGTGTGGTTGCTAGTAAACTGTAGGAAAATACAGAATCTTCCCCTGTTATGAAATAAGGTGTTAAAATAATATACTGTCATAGTGGAAGTACTTAATGCTGTCCCCTAGTGAATGTTAGGTTTCTCTGTAGCAGGCCATATTATATTTATTCTGGTCATTGGCCTAGATCTGATGGGTACATGACATAACCACTTTTTAACTTGGACAACGTCACTTTCATAGTAAATACTTCCACTGAGAGTGGTAAGGTTTTAGAACAACTTTGTGTTTGAACTTCTTAAATTTATTTAACTCCAAATAAATCGTCATGTTAGTCTTCAGTGTCAGAACTGGTGAATATTTGTTCAATTCTGTTGAGCTGATGTCAAAGATAGCAACCTCCACATCAATTGGGATGCACAGAGTGAGAAGATAAACCAGCTCTTTCATCTTCCAAGACTCAGTATATTTCCAACACAGATAGCAATCCATGTGCAATGAATTTTCATTTTGTTTGGCATATAAAAAAATTTAAATGACTGTGTGTTGGTTCAGTCTTTCATTTGACAATCTGTTTTCTTTGCCCAGAGAAGATTGCTTCTTTCTTAGAGTCATTCTCAATTTGCCAGAGTTTTCTCCTGTTAGTTTCATATTCCACTCAAAGAGTACTTTTAACTGAACTCTTCTTTGCTTGCAGCTTGTGAATCAACTGTTCAACTGCTGTTTGATGCAGTTATACATTTGGGATGCAAACCATACCTGGACAGCCAGAGAGCTGCTTGTATGTGTCGTTATGAGGGCAAGACAGATCTCTGAAAGAAGACACCGAGATATCATGGTGTAGAATAAAACCAAAGATCCAGCCAAAATGAAGCAAGGCTTTGGTTACAAATCGTTAGACCTTTCAGACAGTGATACATTAAACACTGACATGAATTTACTGATTTGAGGATCACTATGATATTCTCATTCATGTGAAAAAGAAATAAGTCATCCTTCTCTCCAGTTTATGCCAGAAGCTTGGGAACTGAAACTGTTTTCCTTTGGTATATGTGCACCTGTATGTGCTGTTGTAAAACGCTGATGCCATTTTAATGTTCCCAAGAAGACTCCACAGTGGAGACATCAGAAGCACCAAAGAGTTATACTGTATTCTCAGGTGATTTTTAATACAGGTCAAATTTAGGTTTACTAGTAGTTGAAGAATCTGATGGGTTCAACAGGAAAGAGTGTGTTATGTGTACCAGTATGAGACATCTTACATAGCCTATACCTGCATGTTTCTGCTGTAGTTGCCTTGAGTGCTCTCTCATGTTTGTGGTCCTGCAGGTTTCTTGTTAAAAAGCCAGGAAAACGCCCCAAGCCAATGTACATGCACTACATATTTCTACCTGATTCTATATCAATGCCTTACTAAAGCAGCACCTTTCAGATCAAATGCATTGATCCTTTTAAGGACTGTCCAGTAAAATGAACAGTTTGCAGCCTAAGGATATACTTTTGATTTGACAGAATGGTGAAATGTAGTTTCTGTATTGTTTTTTAAAAATTCATCAAATGTCTGGTTTTGAATAAAACATTTTGTGCTGTGTATTATATGAATGGAAAGGATATATGTACAAATATGTTGATTTAGATTTCTGTTGTGGCACAACTTGGGTACTGTATTCATCTTTGCTGTCATTTAGTGTGTTCCGATGAAAACTAAAAGGAAGTTCCACAGTTAAGACCAGAGTGCCCAAAAAACAAATTTATTTATGATGCCCTCTGTGAGGCTGATGGATATATAAGCTTGTACTTCTGTTACTTGTTCACTCTCTGACTTCTGTAGCTAAAATCACCTGATGCCTGAATTATTTTGTGTTTACTCTCTGTACTCTCTGTACTTGTTGCTTATCTACAGGTGTCAGTCCTTAGTTAACTTCTGCATTAGGTCTTCTGTTAGAAAGATAATTATTTGCTTTAATTATTCACAGGAGACGAATAAAAATTAAAATATCGCATCTGTGAACAGGTAGTAGAAATTAAATGCATAAAATTCACTGGACTCATGGACTATAATGTGATATAATTTTGTGGATTTTCTTTACCAGTTGTGTTTTTGGTTTGTCCCTAGGGCTTAGTTTTAATCTCTCTCTTTATCCTTTTAATTTTTATTATTATTTTTATTTGTTTACTTTATTTCAGTTACTGAAGTGTTCTTACCTAAACCCATGAGTTATACTTTTTTTCTGATTCTCCTTCTCCCCATTCCTTGTGTGCCTGTGTGTGTACAATGGCTGAGGTTCAACCACAACAACACAAAATTTTCACTGTTGGAAAGAGCTGGGTTTTGTTCCCTCCTGTACTGACCTGTAATTATACCATGAAAGCCTCCTGGAGTTTCTCTCTAACCATGTAAAACACTAAAAAGAGCTTTAATACTGCTGGATAGCACTTTGATAGTTCTGCTTGCAAACCACAGGAGGCATTTCACTTCTTCCACGTAGTCTTTGCACAAGCTTTTCCTGTAGCAGAAATCCTTGATTAGAGTTACCTGCAAGTTATACAAAATGCATTTTGCAGACCATAGCTCTAAGATGAAGGCTAGCTATCACCCCCTAGGACCTAAAGTTCATTTAAGAACTTACATATTTATAAATATATGCAAAAATGTAATGCTTTTCCTGGTTGTGGCAGTTTAATGTTTTCCTTAGTAGCTGATACAATGCTGTGTTTTGGTTTGAGGATGAGAATGATGTTAATAAAACACAGCTTCTCCTGGTGCCCTGCCAGTGAGGAGGCTGATGTTCGCAAGGATTTGGGAGCAGACGCAGCCAGGTCAGCAGACTCCAGCTGACCCAAGGGGTAGCCCACACCATATGGAATCATGCTGACAATAAGACTGGGGATAGTTGGCCAGGGAGGGCCTTGGAGACTAGCTGGGCAACTGTACTGTCTGTCACTTATTTTGTATATCCTTTTGTTACTATTTCGCCGTCCTTTTCTGTCCTTTAAACTGTCTTTACCTTTTTTCTGATTTTCTCCTTCATCCCACTGGGGGCAGTGAGTGAACAGCTCCGTGGTGTTTAGCTTCATGCTAGATTAAAGCATAACAATACTATAGACAGCGGCTCATTTAATTTAATACTGCATGTTTTTGTGTAGTCAGTAATACTGTACAGCAGTGTGTTCACAATCAAACTAACTTTTTCAGCCTGTAGTTCCGATCCTTAATGCATCTTCCAAAAAATACCCACCTACAATCTAAAAGTGTTTCTAAACCTATAGGCACATCTCACAATAAAACTTATATATTAAAATGAGCCAAAAATGCACACCAGCCCAGCGCTACCTCGGGCTGCACACACTGTGATCAAGATAAGAGCGAATCAACAGTGGCTGAGCCTGCTCTTAGCCTCCAGCAAAACAAAGCAGAAGAAAACTCTGTCTTACAAGGATCTAAGTGAACTGTTGGACTGAGGAACACGGCTGACAGTCTCCTGGATTTTGGTTCTGCAGCTGCAGAACTTCACACGGGAGTCTGGCTGCCAGTGGGTTCAGGGGCAGCTCTAGTGTGAGCTGTGAGAGCTGGGATCTGCAGTTGCTAAAAAAATGAGTCTGTTTGGTAGGGGTCTAAATGTTACCCAGTATAAGATGCAAACTTTGTGATAGTCACGTTCTAACTAAGGTATGCACAAAAATAAACGAAGTTCTCTCTTGATCCAGCTGCATACTGGCAGTCTGAGGTAACAAGTCTGAACAAGACAAAAACAAGCTAAGGCAATTAATGCCTCATGGCTCCTTTAGTCAAAGGGAGACGTCTTGTCTAAAATCTTTACCCATGCAAGAAGCCTGAGTAAAACCAGACCAGGTAAAAATGCCTGTGATTGCACTCTAAATCTGCTTCTTTTTGTGCTTGTAGCAGCACTCTTTGAAGTGCACATTCATATCTGAGTTTATCTCCCTAAAAGTAGTCTGGATAAAAAATTCAGATTCCTTTAGGGTACAATCTCTAAAGCTCTTATACAGAAGAAGGGGTTTTTGTCATTGGCTCTGGTTTAGAAACTTGTTATGTGATCGATCAGCCACCGGTAAGTACCGCATTAATTCCCGGCTGGGGAATACTCGTTAAGACACCTGGGCACTCTCATCGATACCCTGTCACTCAGTTCCGAAATCATCAGATAGAACTGGAGCAAGAACAGCGCAAAGCTGCAGGATGATCCACACATCCAAACCTCTCACGGGTTGTGTGTGGGTGCCGGAATGGAAACGCACTTTGAGGAACAGGAGCCGTTCAGGAAAGAAAACACTATGTGTCTGAAATGGGAATTTGAGTACAGTTTTGAAAAATTTAAACTAAGTGAATACGAGAGGCTGTCACCGTATTTCAGGACGATGGTTTTGTACAAGCTGCTGCAATTTCTCGACCACGGTCTCTGAAGAAGCGCCCCAGGAGCGCCGGGGTCACACAGCGCACTTGAACACCTCACCCCGGCGCTGGCCCGGCTCCGCCCCGTTCCTGGCGGAGGCGGCCCGCGCAAACAAAAGGCGCGGGGCAGCACGGAAGGCGAAGAGAAGGGACGGCCGGGCTGGGTTTGTGTTGGTGTGCAGCCTTGTTCCACGGCAATGTCGGGCTCGGAGCGGCGGCCGCCGGCGGGTGCGTGTGCGGAGGGGCCGCGGGGGGAAGGCCCGGGTCAGTCCGCGCCGCCGGCCGGGCTCCTGCCGGGACAGCGCGGAGCGGGAGCGGGGCGGGGAAGGGCTGCGAGGGGCCGGGGCGGCGGCGCTGCCCGCCCGGAGCGCCCCGGCTTCCCGGGAACGGGAGCGCTGCCCGCCCGGAGCACCCCGGCTTCCCCCGGAGCGGGAGCGCTGCCCGCCCGGAGCGCCCCGGCTTCCCCCGGAGCGGGAGCGCTGCCCGCCCGGAGCGCCCCGGCTTCCCCCGGAGCGGGAGCGCTGCCCGCAGGGCGCTCACGGGGAGCGGGGGCTTTGCTCCCGTCCTTTCACTCACATGTGAAAATTTAAAAAGTTTAATCAAGGACAATAGGAGAACAGGACCATAGAGCAAAGGTTATTACGGCCGGGTGCATCTTGGCCCTCAGGCAAGACCACAGTTGTCTTCGGTGATTCCCCTTACATCAGCCATTACATCTATTGCATCATATTCAATACAAACAATTATGCATAGTAAACTTTCCCCCCAAACTAGTTTAGATATTCCAAGAAGTGCTTCGTTTGGATCCGTCTTTTTAGAGCATGGGGATTCCTTGGCTGTGATTTTGGTACATTTTTATCACGTCCAGTTTTCGGGTGTTGGTCCACACTTGTCCTCAGATGGTGAATGCTGATAGTTGGCATATCTGTAGCAAGTGTCTTCTTCATATGTTCATTGGATGTTATCCCATCCAAGCAGGCATTTTAACACAAGCATACTTATATCAGCTATTTCATTAAGCATAACAAAAGAAATAAAAACTATATAACTAAGTTACTTTAATATTACGCACCTAAAATCTATTCTAATACTTGCAAAAAGCCAACATTGTAAGATGTAACAATAACATTTCCTTCCTTCTGGAGGAGGAAGGGAACGGGAAAGGTGTGGGACAAAGGACGGCGGTGACCAAGGAGGAAGTAAGTGGATTTGCAATAAGTCCTCAGCTGCCCAGGGGAAAACCCCTCCCGCTCTCTGGCACGACAGCGGGACAGGGAATCACGGAAGGTCCTCAGCATGTAACAGGAGGGCAGAAGTCAGGGCAGCAAAACCTGAGCTGAGTTCCCGGAAATGCAGCTAGGCTTAAAGGGACTTCTTTTGTGTACCTCTCGGTTGTGTCTAACTGCCTTGCCCTTTAGTCTTGATAATAGACCTGTGATTCCTTTGAAGCAATCCATCTTCATGAAATTAAAGACAAGTAGTCCTGTTGGTCTCAATCAGATTCAAGCTTGTTCCTGTGTAACACAAACAGCTTTTCATAAATCATGATAATTCAAATAATGTTTATGTGAATGAGGCTGTGATATGAGAGTGACAATGAAAAAACAAAGACTAGGAAGGAACTAAACAGGATTAAATTAACAGGAATCCCATATTTTAATAGTTTCCTGTAGCCCAGAAATTCTAGTCCTCCTGTGTCTACATTTTCTGCCTTAAAGTTTGATGACTACAAAATTTTATGATCAGTTTTGGGGGGGGAGTGGATTGCAAGAACTTTTGTCCTCTATCAATACATAGCTATGTTAGTTTTGCAGAAGGCCTTAACAACATTTGAAAAATAGATGTGAAAAGCTAGTATCGTATGTGCAAAGTAGTTTGCAAAATACATGAACGTGTGACTCTTCTTATAATTGCAGGCCATGTCCAGCTGGATAGCAGACCTACATTACCCACCACAGGTACAGCATTGTATACAGTTCTCATAATGTGGTAGTTAGTCTTTACCAGTAGGAGTAGTGATTTAATAGCCCACTGAGATGCTTAAGTAAGAGGAATAAGTATTTTGGCCTAACTGCAAGTTTGCAGTTCTGCACACTCCCAAGATGTACATGTTGCTTGTTCCCACACTGTTACCTTTATGCCCATTCTGTATTAGAGGTGATTAAAGTCTCTATAGTTCAACAGAAGAAAAAGTTTAAATCTTGCATCTTCTCAGTTGTCAATAGCTCTTACACTATCTGGTGTGACTCATGTGCTGCATCCAACCTCAAAGAGAATGCTCAGCTTTTTATTAGTAACATTATTGAAAGAAAAGAAACATCAATGTATTTTTAAGTTATGTAAAATTTTAACTATTGAGTTAGTCCTTTAAAAAAATACACCCAGCTAGTTAGTTATATTAAATCATAATCTCTGAATATGTTTATATTAGGTACAGATACACAGACAGATAGAAAATACGCATGTCTTGACCACCTGAAATCCAGACTGCTGGAGTCAGAACTTCCAGAACAACCTCCAAAAGCTGTGCAGACAAACACTAATGAGGCTGTTTACCTGCATGTCTACTTACCTGATGTGTGAATGAGCTTTTGGTTCACATTAACAGCTGAACTTTAAGGCTGGATGCATTT